ATGGGAGCCTAGGTAGGTATAAAGCTCGCCTGTTGCTCAAGGGTACAAACAAGAACATGGCATCGACTATGAGGAGACATTTGCGTTGGTGGCTAAGTTGACTACTGTTCAGCTTACTCTTGCTACCACTGCTATTAAACAATGGATTGTTCATCAGATGAATGTCAAGAATGCCTTTCTTCATGGGCATCTCCGTGAGACAGTGTATATGAAGCCTCCTCCAGGCTACTGTGATGATTCTACTCTAGTCTGCAAACTAAAGAAGTCCTTGTATGGGCTTAAACAAGCCCCACGGACCTGGTTTGAGGAGTTCAAAGGGGTTATTATTGAAGTAGGATTTCAGCAGAGTGCCTCAGATTATTCCCTCTTTATTCTTCATCGTCCCCAAGGAGTGACTCTTCTACTAGTGTATGTTGACGATATACTTATTACTGGTGATGACTTGGAAGGGATCACTCAGTTGAAGCAACTCCTCAACCAATCCTTCAAAATGAAGGATCTAGGTCCTATGACCTACTTTCTTGGTCTTGAGATCACCAGAAGGGCTCGAGGATATTTTGTTAATCAGCACAAATATGCTAGTGACCTAATTAAGATGGCCAATCTCTCTGACTCGAAGCAAGTTGATACCCCATTGGAACTCAACCTTAAGCTCAATAAGGATGATGGACAACTCCTTCCTGATGCTACATTATATCGTCAACTTGTTGGAAGCCTTATTTACCTTACTATGACTCAACCAGACATATCATATGTTGTGCAGATAGTTAGCCAATTTGTATCAGCTCCTCGACAACCTCATTTATTTGCTATGCTTCGAATTATCAGATATGTTAGAGGCACCTTATCTCATGGATTTTGGGCTGGTTGCCCTGACACCAAACGGTCCACCACTGGCTGGTGTGTTTTCTTAGGTGATTCCCTCATCTCTTGGAAGTGTAAGAAACAACAGACAGTCTCCAAATCATCTACTGAAGCCGCATACCGTGCCATGTCCTCTGTTTGTAGCGAGCTTGTCTGGCTTAAAGCTCTTCTTCATGATTTGACCATTAATCACTACGCTCCCATCCCTTTATTTGCTGGCAATATGAGTGCAATCAAAATTGCCTCAAATCCAGTCTTCCATGAACAAACTAAGCACATAGAGGTGGACTACCATTTCATTTGAGACCTTCTCACTACTGGTCACATCACATTGCCTCATGTGTCTTCCAATCTTCAGCTGGTTGATCTCTTTACTAAGGCTAGGAACACCCCTCTCACTACTCTCCCCCAGCCGAAGGGGCAAGGGCAAGGGCGTTTTGGGAGTGCCTCGCATGGAAGCGCGCGCCTCCAGGCGTACGCCTCCCACGCCTTTTAAAAAACTGGTGCTAACATAACATGAAGCAAAAAGACTAAAATGCCCTACCGCCTCTAACAGTACACTAACAGCTAGAAATGAAAACAAGAAAATAACAAAATAGGTAACAGAATAACTCAACGAGTGGGACTACAAGTAGAAGTAGTCCGGTCCACCTCAATATGTTATGTTGGAGGCAATTTTCTCTTAGATGAAGTGACAGTCAACCTCAATATGTTAGTTCTGTTATGTTGGATTGGGTTGTGGGCAATATTAATGGCAACCTGATTATTACAATACAACCTCAATAGCTTCTCATACTCAATTCCAAGTTTCTCAATGAGAGATCACAGACATAACACTTCAACCACACCATGAGCCATAGACCTATACTTTGCCTCGACACTTGAGCGAGCAACAACATTTTGCTTCTTGCTTCACAATGACACTAAGTTACCTCCAACAAAAGCAAGTACCTTGAAGATGATCTGCTATCATCAACACATCCGGCCAAATCAGCATCAGTGTACACCTCTATCTTCATATGACCGTTATTCTTAGAGAGTATGCCACGACCTGGACATCAATTCAACTAAGCAAGGATTCTTTCCACAACAAGCAGATGAGTGGTTCTAGGAGAATACATGTATTAGCTAACAACACTAACATAAGAGATGTTAAGATGTGTGAGACATAGGTAAAGGAGCTTTCCTACTTGTCGTTGCTACATGGCTTTGTCTTCAAGAGGCTCACCATCTTCTGCACTTATCTTATGATTCAACTCAACGAGTGCAAGGTGTGCCTACTGATTTAACTCCCAATTTCCCAGTGTCATTAAGGAGATCAAGGACATATTTCCTCTAGGAGATGAAGATACCATGTCTAAAACAAGCCACCTCAATTCCGAAGAAATACCACAGGTCACCTAAGGCTTTCACTTCAAATTCCTTACTAAGCAATTGCTTAAGTGAATCGATCTCATCAATATCACTGCCTATCACCACAATGTCATCGACAAACACTACAAGAAGAGTCAAGGAAGCTTCATTTCTGTTAATGAAGAGAGTATGATCAAACTGGACCTGTATATAACCAAAGCTTTCTATAGCCAATCTAAATATGTTAAACCAGGCTCTTGGAGATTGCTTTAAACCGTATAAAGCTTTTTGTAATGTGCAAACCTTCTTCCCTACATGTTCATTATAGAATCCAGGAGGTAACCCCATATACACCTCCTCCTATAAATCACCATTAAGAAAAGCATTCTTGGCATTCAGTTGAAACAACGGCCATGAAAAAATTGTTGCAACGGATAACAGAACCCTAATGGTATTCATCTTGGCTATAGGTGCAAAGGTTTCTAGATAGTCAATGCCATAAGTCTAGGTATACCCCTTTGCAACCAATAAGACCTTATACCTTTCAATTGAACCATCTGCATTATGCTTCACAGTAAACACCCATCTGCACCTAACTGGTTTCTTCCCTTCTAGCTTGTCTATTAGCTCCCAAGTCTCATTCTTAATGAGAGCATTCATCTCTTCCTCCATTGCATTCTTTCACTCAGGTACCACAAGAGATTCATGGACAATTCTAGGAATAGGTACAACAGAAATAGATGCCAAATAGATTTATAGGATGGTGAGAGATAGTCATAGGTGATGAACTAGCAGATGCAATGGGCAGTAGATGAAATGCACCAGAACTTCCCTTTGCGAACTACAATGGGAAGATCAAGACCATCTGGAGGATGAGGTGGTAAGGAATCAGAAGGTGAGAGTGATGTATCAATAGGCAAGGAAATAGAAGTACCTGAATCTCAAACTGCAAAAGTGATAGGAATTGGCCTGGACTGATCATGAGCACCAAAATCAACCTGCCTCTACCACCAGTGAAAGACCCTCAACTCCTTACACCTTTGACAAGCACCCTCATTACACAACTCTCCTTCAAGAATAGGAATAGGCAAAGGAACTTCAAGACTAGGAACATCCCTCACACTACTCTCCCCCTGAGAAGAAACTCCGAGGTAATAAGGTACATCCTCAAAAAATGTAAATCCATGGAGACAAACCAAGAGCCAAAACAAGGATCATAGCAACAATATCCCTTTTGATTTTGTGCATAACCGAGAAATATACATTTAGTAGCCTTAGGGTCAAAATTAGAACGATAAAGTCCCAAATTTTAGGGATTTTACACATGTACACTTGAACAACAACAGTCATGGTGGATATCTGCATTCAAATAGTGGAGTTTTGCTGCATTTGTGATTGACCAGACCTACCATTTTAACCATATGAGTTGTAGGAAAAAATAACTCAACTCATCTTCTCCCATGGACACTAGAATCTTGCACCTCTCTTTTCTTAAACTTTTCTGCATTTTACTTATCAATATGTTTGTTACAAAATCCGAATCATCTCTGCAAAGCATCCCTTTCAATGCTTCAAGCGGATGTGGTTCAAACAACCTACAGCTCATTATCTCCTTTCACTTCCACCGCTGGCACTTCCTACGTGGATGCCCTTGTTATGTTAATGATGTGGTTATCACTAGCAATGATCCTACACGCATCTCAGTTTTTGTATTAAAGATCTTGGGCCTATCAAATACTTCTTGGGCCCATAGTTGTCAAGGCGACGCCCAAGCGACTAGGCGCCCTTTGAGGCTCGCCTCACCTAATTGCTAAGCACTTATTTACTTTCTACTATAAAATACTTTTTTGTTCAATCTTTTTTAAGATCATAATTATAAAATAGACTATTAAACTAAAATAATCATTTTGTGAGTTTATATTCTAATTTCTTTTTATTATTTTCTTATTTATTAGGGTTTAATCAACACAAACATTGCTAAATGCTGTATTGAACTCTCAAAGACTTCAAAACCTGAACCAATAAGTAAGGAAGAACTTCAACTTTTATTTAATCAGCACATTTTCTTCTTCCTTATATTCTTCTTCTTCTTCTTCTTCTTTATTTAATCAATACTTTTTCTTTTCTTCTCTTCCTATAACAAAAATAAGGGTTCAGCCCCTATATTTTTTGAGTTTTATTTCCCTTCTTTTTCTTCTCATAAATATGTTGATTTTCTATGAACTTTATACTTTTCTTTCGAAAATTATGAATAATTATTAAGGAAAGACACTATCCACATTGATGGGAACCCCATGTTTCATGAACGAACTAAGCATATAGATATTGATTGCCATTTTATAAATAGCACGTTCAAAGCAGGGCTATCCATTTATTGTCCAAGTAGGGCATTACGGTTCTCCATGCCCAACTTGCGGGGAGTGTTATAATATCTGTTGTAACAGAAGAAGATTCTAGAATGGGCCATTCGGCCCACTTATCTTAATCAGTTAGCTATGCCTCTGTACCTCTATGTATATCTGAAGCCTAATCTAATGAATTCGAACAGTTCTTCCGTTTTCTACTCGTGTCTGTTACCAATTTACAGAACACAAAAAAGATTCAAAAAGAAAATGAAAAAAAAAATGAATAAAGGAACGGAATCACGGAACAGGATTCATGTAGCCGAGCCCATATAGTTGGGATAATGATCGGATGATGATGATGATTGAAAAAAAAGGAACCATCTGATTAATTAAAACTTAAACGCATGAAAAAAAAGGAGTACATGCTGAATTACTAACCTGAGATGCGGCTGTGCCAAATAGGGAAGGTTTAAGTCCACTGTACAATCCTCCCCAGCCTTCGCTTTTTACAACCTGAGAAGCGAATAAAAGGGAGTCAGAGAATGAAGCTCATAATTTCAAGTAGGGTAGTAAAGTAGAGAGAGAGGAGTGGGTGAATACCTGAAGGATTTCCATTAGAGTACTGCTTGGGAGACGATTGGAAGGAGATGAGGCACCATCGCAATGAGGGAGGAGCCCTTTCTTGGCAACCCTCTCTGTTTGCTGGCGCGTGTTTACCTGAAACCACACGCTCAAATGTGATACATTTGGGGAAAAACACACATACGTCCCCAAAGGAACACAACAGCGAGAAAGGGAAAGGTGAGAGGAAGAAATAGAAATTACGGTTTGGAGAGGATATGTGATTATCTGAGCAATGATGCCTCCTCCGGCTCCAGCCAATCCGTTCAATACGGCGTTCGACATGCCCTCCCTGCTTCTCTTACCGCAATTGCATCCCGCGACAAGGGAGCTTGCAAATTCCACAAACTTTTTGTTTTTCTTTATTTTCTATAAAACCGAACACGGCAATGTCAAGCGCCTCTGCTCCACTGAATCCACGGGAAATCCACAACTACTTCGACCAGATAAAATCGTAATTTGACGTCACAGGCCGATCCGAAAACGGAACCGCTTTTGCCACCGGTTTTCAGGTCGGCGGTTCGACCGTCCGGACGAAACGGTCCAAATTATTAAAGCCAATGATTAAAGTATCAGCATTATATGGGATAACACAAATACGGTTACACTTTGAAAAATGCATGGATACGGATAAAGAAAAAATAATAAGCACAAAATAGTATATAAATACATGAAAAATGTAAATTTTAATGATATAAAAAAAAAATATATTACAATTAGTATACTGGGATGTGTATCTATCATATAATTTTATTTATAATAGATCAATCAATAGTCCATGACACTAAATATATGCACCTATTATATTTTAATTATTATTTTAATTTTTTAAAATTAAACAAAAAAATCAATTCAAATTAAAATATGAATTAAAAATTTATAAAAATATAATCTTAACTTAAGAGCGTATCAATTTTGTTAAAATTTCTACAATACGTATCATATACAAATCCATAGTTTTTAATTACTAAAATAATTATTCCATTATTAATATTTTTATTTTTATAAATTTTATGAAATAAAAATCATTTTTATTTTTTGTTATTAATTATTAATGTAAATTAAAATATTAGTTAATAATTTATAAAAATAATAAATTTTTTAAAATTTATATCATGTGTGAATTTATAAATTTTAAGTATTAAAATAATTATTCTATTATTAATATTCTATTTGTATAATTTTTTGATATCAAAAATCATTTTTTTATATAAATGCATATTTGATAGATTATTTATTCTATTAGTTTATAAAATAATATTTGTAATAGTATTTTTTAATTTTTAGTTAGAGTTTTTAAATATAAATATTTGTTTTTTGTTTAAATTGCATGTGAACACAAGTTAATAAGATCATTTGTACATCACTTTTAATCACAAAATCGCATTTGGCTTTGTGGCTTGAAATTAAAGGAGAATGTTAACGTGCTAGATGGACTTTAGTTTAAGTCTCCTCAATGCATTTTTTATTATGAGGCTTGGCAAAATCATCGACCCAACCCACCCTAACCCTTTTTCACCAACCCTAATGGGTTGCTCGACCCATATTGACCCACCAATATAATGGGTGAGTATAAGTGGGTTCCAATGTAGTAGGTTGGGTGGGTCAAATGGGTTGGAGTCAAGATTGCCAGTCTAATTCCCTATCCCTTGATTTATTAATAGTAATGGAGTCTGGATTTGCTCCTCACACATGGTGCTTCACATGCACATCCTATCATGCATTGGGAACATTACTCGTACTTATTAGTTATTATTCACGGGAGATGTTCCCAATGCACAGTGGATGTGCCTGTGAGGCACCCATTTGTGAGGAGCAGATCCCATCATGTAGTCACGTCCCAATCCCTAGGTTTTTGTAGGTGACAAGGAAAATTCAACTTTAGTTCATGCACCGTTTGAGCGGTTGGAGGACACACGTCCTCCAAATCGTGTAAACAGTTGAAGCATGCGAAGATGCTTCATGTCGTTAGTTAACCACATCGTTTTATTCTCATCTCCTCTCTTCTCCCTTTAGTGTCGCAAACGAGACACTCATTCTCTTCTCCCTCACTCTCCCCAATCCACCCGGCGGTGACTTAACATCCAACCGCCGACGGTGATGAATAAGCAACTCCCTCAATCATCAGTTGTGGGACACCCATCTTGATGTAAATGCTACTACCCCAACAGTAAGGCTGGTTGGACTCCATTAGAAACCCACACACAAATCCATCACCAATGGTTAGGCCTAGGATCGGAAATTGATAAGGAGTTCCATAGATTACAACTGAGTCTGCTCCATAGCAGGTCACAATATGAGACCCATCTGACTTCAAACCACAGAAAACAAGACCATTCTCACCATAGCAGGTCACAATATGGACATGGAGCCCAGATCAAACACCTACAACCACGAATATGCAATGGCCACCAACAACACTACATCTTGGAGAAGAAAAACATGCTTTTCGAGTGTCCATCTTCAAAACCCATATGAGAAACCTGTGATCAAACTCCATGATTTTTTCACCAATAAATCCAACCAATTATTAACAAAACCCAAAAGTTGCAACAGTTATTTGAAAACTCTTACTAACATTACAACCTGAATAAGAATCTACCACTTATGACATCCAGTTCCAGGCCCATATGAGAAAGTCTTCTATATTGGACGACTCTTTACAAAGAAGCAAAACAAGATAACTAAAAAACAACATAGCCTAAATTATGTCCAGAAGGAATATCTGTCCTGACTTTTGAAACTCCTCTTCTTGTTTTGTTTTCTGATGTTGGAAGAAAAACCACTAAAGATAAAGACAAGGAAATCCCATGTTTGAACAGCAGTGAAGGACTATAATTCAAACCAGAGTGTTGCTTAAATAAATCATAAGATCCAAATACCAAATACTCCATCCAAAAGAAGCTTCTGTGATATCAAACTCCCCATATGCTCTTTTTCTACAAGACCCATACAAAAAAAAAAAAAAAAACTTCTTGCTTATTATGGGTAACAACTCTAATCTGGACTTAAAAAATGAGTTACATGAATGCAATATGCAACTTTGATGCAAGAAGCACACCCAATATCAGATTCTACTGATTATACCTTTAAAGCTCCATCTTCTATAACCATCTACTGAAACAACTTACAAATTTCTTTTTTTTTTTAATCTCTCTCTTTTCTATTACTAAAGTTGTAAAGTTGGTAGAGAGAGAAGAGATGTTGCAAAAATAAGCGAGTAGTGAAAAACTAAAAGTTGGATGGGTTATAGAAACGAGTTTGACTTCAGTCCAAGCACCCTCAGTCAGGTGATATTAGCCATCCACCCGGTGGTGACTTAACAAACATTACCGCTGGTGATGGTTGTTTGTCGCGGACGGTAATGGATGTTGTCGCCGCCGGGTGGATGAGGGGAGAGAGAGGGATAAGAGAACAAATGTCTCGTCTACGATACTCAATGGAGAGGAGAGGAGAGGATAGGAGAATAAAATGATGCCCCGGTTAACCAACGGCATGAAGCACCTTCATATGCTTCAACCGTTTACACGATTTGGTGGACACGTGGCGCGTCCTCCAACCGTGTGAACGGTGCCCTGACTGAGGGTGCCTGGACTGGAGCCGATCTCAATGATATTTCTAACAAGGCTTATTTTGGCAATATTTATTATTTAAGTTTACGAACAAATCTTATACTGATGATATTTTTAAGCCCCACTGAACGACCATTAGCAATTGATGTCATGAGTTAACAACCACTAAATTAAACTGCAAGGAGGGGGAAAAAGGAACATGGGAAAATTGAAAATGGAGCAGTAATAAGAGCCCAATATTAATTTGCTTTCTATAAAAACGTAAATCTATAATATCTATAACATATCTATAAAAGTGCGAATGGGGGTGTTGGCTTCTGATTTTTCATTTGACAGTTCTAGCCCTATATCTCGAGGTCTTTAGAGGGCATGCATGTAACTATAATTTGATAAAATGTTGCACATTAATTGACACAATTAAAGAATGAATATAACTGGCTTTCGTTTTTGTCTAAGAAACAACCAATTAATAGATATAGTTGGCGTTACTTTCTTCTTTATAACTTATATAATTAAATGAGGCTAGTTACTTTAGCATATGAAGCCTAGGAAGAAGCACTTAATTCCCCTTGCAACTCACACAGAATAGTTTATATCCATATAGGATTTTAAGCTCAAAGAGAAGGGACCAAACTTAATAAAATCCTTGCAAGGTTTACATGAAAAATGAGAATAGGTTGATGGAAAGAATACAAGGAAATGCACATGCATTAAAAAAAAACGAAATTAGTAAGAGTGGAAGAGAGGTAACGTTAAGTTGTTAACCCTTCTCATCATGGCTTGTTTGAGTAGTGATGGCTAGTGTTTTCGACTCACCATTAACTATCTGGTTTAACTGCTCAAACAATCACTCAATAAAGATTCTAGGTCTAGTTTGAGTAAAACCCGAAGATAGGTTAAAAACCAATGACTTGATAAAAAAACGTCCAACCTAAACAGTTGGACCATTGGCACATTAGAACCGATGATTGGGTCGCGGGTTGCATACTAACCATGTATGCAAACATTGGGAGGCCTAACTTTGCATTTCGATGTCCAATTGTGGTGATTTTTCTTTTTTATTTTGGGTAATTTTTTTATATTTGTGCATCCCAATGTTCCATATCCCGTTATTTTTATCAAAACCCCATTTTGTCTCAAATTGCAAATTTTAACATTTTTTATGAATAAAAAATTGAAAACTAAATAAAAACATAAAATAGACACCCCATTTTTGTGCCCTTTCAGTCTTTTTGTAGCACTTTAAGCTTCAAGCATGCTTTAGCTAACATCTCAACCGACCTGGGGGCATTTTTTCAATTTTACAAAAGTTAGGGCCCCAAAAATATGAGACCATAAGTACGTAGAGCAACAAAAAAATCCAAATCCAATGACACAAAGATCACTTGAATCTAACACCACTTACCCCTTCATCATGAGACCCGAAACCGAAACCGATTTCGATCGTTCAACCAGAGTCATTTTGATCATAAACCTCATTTCATGTCAAATCAGAAATACAAAACCATAAGTATGTATATCCCATAAATCCAAATCCAATGACACCAAGATCATCCGAATTTGACACTGTTTACCCATTTGTCATAAGACACGAAGCCAAAATCGATTCCAATCGTCTAATCGAGATCATTTTGATCTTAAACCTCAATTATTGTCAAATCAGAAATTTGACACTATCGGTACATAGAGCCTAAAAATCCAAATCCAACAACACCTAGATCAATGAAATCTGACACCATTTACTTCTTTATCTTAAGACCCAAGGCTAGAGTCGATTCTGATTGTTTGATCGGAGTCATTTTCATCCCAAACCTCATTTCATATCAAATAAAAAATCCAAAGC